GGGGAGCAGAGGGAGGGGGATGCAGCATGAGAAATGCCCCAGAAGGGAGAAAGAGAGTCAGCCTCACCCCGGCTCCCTGAGAACGTGGAAGCAGGCTACAGGAACCCCCAGGAACTGCCCTCCAGGTGCTCAACGACCCGGATGAGCAGGGTCAAGTTCCAGAGCAAAGAAAAAGCTCAGAACCCTTGCAGACATGTTTCAGGCAGGGAGGAACCTGGGCTCCGACCGTCAGTCTTCAGAACAACCAGGCCCAGAGTCATCAAAGTTCACCATCTCCAAAAGGGGCAGAGCCCCTTGGTCAAAGACAGGGCTTAACGGCTCACATGTGACTCCTTCTATCATGTTCCCTGATGCACCCTGAGACTCCTTGCTGGAGAGGTTGGGGGAAGCGCCTGGAAGGCCGACACCACAGCCCTGTCAGAGCTGCCCATTGGTGAGCATTCTCTGTGTGCCTAGTGCTAAGGTCACTCCCCTCATGGGCTCTTCTGAGGAACTTTATTGCTTTTGTCCCCTGATCATGGTGAATTTTTCTCTCATTTATTTTCTACCTTTTCTTGATTGTCTGTGAGTTGTCCCAAAGCCTTTGTGTGGCGGCAAAACACATTCATAAACAAATGGTTGCTTTTTTTTCTTTTTAAGTATTTATTCATTTGACAGACAGAGATCACAAGTAGGCAGAGCAGCAGGCAGAGAGAGAGGAGGAAGCAGGCTCCCCGCCGAGCAGAGAGCCCAATGCGGGACTCTATCCCAAGACCCTGAGATCATGACCGAGCCGAAGGCAGAGGCTTTAACCCACTGAGCCACCCAGGTGCCCTAAATGGTTGCTTTTTTAAAAACACTTTCAGGAAAAGCAAATGTTCAGGACACTCCCCACCCCTGGTTTCACCTCACCTCCGCTAAGTGAACCCAAGGGATGAAGAAGAAATCAGCTGGGTTATAAGTGTCCCTGTTGTCTACGAAGGCCTAACAGATTATCCCCGGAATCTAAAGCCACCATTTTATTTTGTCCAAGATCTTGTGGGACAGGACTTGGCTGGACTATTCTTGCTTGGGAGTCTCTCACACGATTTCACTAAGCTGTCTGCCAAGGCCATGGTCATCTGAAGGCTTGACAGGGCTGGAGCTCCAAGGAGGCTTCCCTCATGGGTTGCCAGCTGACAGCTGGGAGACCAGCGGGCCGCCAACTGGAGCATTTACGTGGAGCCTCTCCATGTGGCCTGGGCTTCCTCACAACACAGTGACCTCAGAGAATTCAGGGTTTGTTTTTGTTTTTGTTTTTGTTTTTTAATACTTAGTAGCTCAGAGCCCTGAAAGTGGGAGACCTAATATATAAAATCTTCACTGCCTTAAAGAAAAAAACAACTTTCAGGGAGCCTTGGTGCTCAGTCAGTTAAGCATCCAACTCTTGATTTCAGTTCAGGTCACCATCTCAGGGTTGTGGGTTCCAGCACCGCTTGAGGATTCTCTCCCTCTGCCCCTCTCCCTGCTCTCCTGCGTGTGCTCTCTCTCAAATAAATAAATCTTTTTTTAAAAAATAACTTTCTTGAGACATAATTCATATACCATAAGGTGTAAAAGTTTACTGTAGTTACAGAGTTGTACAACCACTACCACTATCCAATTTCAGAGGTTTTGTACCACCGAGAAGGAAGCCCACACCCATTACCTGTCACTCCCCTTTCCTCCCTCCCTCCAGGCCTGTCCTGGCAGTGGAGGCCCTTCTGCCCCTCTCTATGACCAGCTGGGCCCACCGTGCTTCTTCCTGGGTTGGCCAAAAGCTGGCCCAGAGGCCCCTTGCTCTGGGCCCTCAGTTCCCACTCCCTCTTCTAGGCTGAGGGATTCCGTGGGTGGGGGGAGGGCAGCCCTGCTTTTCCTTGTGTTTCTCCATAAATTACTTTCTCACTTTTGCCAAAAGCTGCCTCTAACCCGCCCAAACTCTCACGAGAAATAAAACCATCCTGTCTCACAGGCTGCTTGGCTTTGTCCCACTTCCTTCCTCTGAAGCAATGAAGCACAAGCCATGAACCTGCTAGGATTCATTCATTCATTCATTCGTTTAATACACATTTATTAACAGTCTGCTTTGTGACGTGAAATGTTTTAGGAACTGGGGGTGCCTTTCTGAACAAAAATACAGAAATCCCTTTTCCCCTGGATCTGTTTGAGTGGAGAGAAAGGAACAAGGAATAACCAAATTAAAGAGCATGTTGCAAGGTGATGAGGACTATAGGGACATACATACAGCAGAGTAAGCAGGACAGGGACTGCGAGAGGGATGGCAGTTTTAAATAGGAAGGTCAGGGTAGGCCTCACCAAGAGACTGACATTCAGGAAAGACAAGGGAGAAAAGCCCACGTGAAAAACCCTTTACTGGTTCTCCTTTGTCCGTGAATAAATTCCTGACCTTAAATATGGCCTTCAGCTTGTTCGTGGCCTGGATCCTGCTTTCTCCAGTCCCACCAACACAAAGTCCACTACGTAAACACACACACACACACGCATGCACGCACACACACTCTGATCAGCCTTGAATGTGTGGACTCTCCCTGTGTCCCACACAGCAGGTAAGGAATGTTACTCACAGCACAAACATAACATAACAGGGTTCGTGAGAGAACACAGGAGGCTAGCTGAATGGAGCAACATGGAAAAACAAACAGAAGTCCTAGCTAGCTATAGGGTCTCCTGGCTGGCTCAGTTCGTAGAGCATGCATCACTTGATCTCAGGGTTCTGAGTTTGAACCTTATGCTGGGTGTCAAGGAAAAAAAAAAAAGAGGCTTAGCCATAAAGTGAGGCTTCCGACCTCAAGCTCATTCATAACTGCAGATCATTGGCATGTGGTGGAACTGTCAGAGGTCATCCATTCCACCCCTCAGTGGGGCCCAGGGGGGATGGTAACATTCTTGAGGTCACACAATCTTAGCTGCACACCAAGGTCAGTTATTCTGCAGGAATAACATTTTATGCATGCAAGGTTTTTTTTTCTTTCTTTCTTTCTTTCTTTTTTTTTTATGAGACTTCAAGTTCCTCTATTGAGTGTCAGAAGGAGAAATGACCCGTTAGACTTCCCCTCCACCAACAGACCACAGCTGAGCTGAGTGCCAAAGTTAAAGGGCCGGTTGTGGATTTCTGTGACGCCCAAGGCAGCACCGTCTTTCCTGACTGAGGATTCTGTCCAGGGGCTCTAGGTATATGCTGGAAAACAAGGGTGGACTCTTTGTTGTTCCTCGGGAGGAGGGGACTGTCAAAACACAGAATCCGGAAAGAATCTTGCCATGGACCGAGGCTTGGCCCACTCTGGTGTGATCTTATGAGTTGGGATTCTGTGGCTGGCACCAAATTCTTTGCCTGGGGCCAGACGAGGGGAGTCTCTGATGGCTCAGAAAGAAAAGGGGGCATTTTAGAACTTCAGGGCTAAAGTGTGATAAGCATAACACACATGAGGAAGTTAGAACTAAGTGAGAAGGTCATCAGATTGTGACAAAGCCAACAAAAACAGTCAAACGAATGACGCTGTGTTGTCAATACTTCTATAGAAGGATGGACGTGGGGGGTGGTGAGGGAGTGCATGAGAGGCTGCTTATGTGAAGGTCAAGTCTTCTTACTCCTACTTCCCCAGATGATTACACCTAAATCACCTAATCCCTCCCAAGCTCCTGGGGCCGAGATGCTTCAAGAATATCCATAAGCCCTTCTCCCCACTGCTTCCTTCATGGGCCAGTGCCTCCCTCCCAGACCTCCTCATGATCTCAGTCCCATATCCTCTCCCTGAGGCTGCTCCCATCCCTGAATTCCTTCTAACCCCCACTATCCTTCAGATCGAGGTTCTTAGAAGCTGCGTGACCCTGAGCAAGAGTCTTGACCTTTTGCAATCTGCTTCCCATCTAGAAGCATTTGCACTGGTGATGAACAGGCCCACCACTCATTGAGCAAGCTCCCACTGCCGGGTTCTGTGCTGAAAATTTAACATACATGTCTTCATCTAAGCCTCACAACACCCCTATGACATAGATTCTGTTGTTATTTTCATTTTATTGACCAGGAAACTGAGGCTCAGAAGCATAAAACCATTTGCCTGAGGTCCCATAGCCAATACTTGACTAGCTCAGGATTTGAACCGAGGTCATACTCCAGGCTCAAGTCCCCTAGTACTGTCTCTGGTAAGGTTTCTCTGAGGATTCTCTTTTCCCACAGGAGAACTAGCAAAGGGTTACTAAGTATATTTAAAAATGAAATACTGCTAGGGACACCTGAGTGGCTCAGTAGATTAAGCAGCTGCCTTCAGCTCAGGTCATGATCCCAGGGTCCTTGGATTGAGTCCTACATCAGGCTCCTGGCTCAGTGGGGATCCTGCTTCTCCCTCTCCCTCTGCCTGCTGCTCCCTCTGCTTGTGCTCTCTCTGTCAAATAAATAAATAAAAATCTTTAAAAATAAATAAATAAATAAAAATTTAAAAAATAAATACTGTTAAAGGTCGCTCATCCACCAGAAAAGTCTCCCACTCCAGGCACCAAAACCAGGTGGGTGAAATGGACAGACAACACACTAACAGAGATACCAATAAGAAAAAAGTTTATCACCCTAGTAACCCAAGAAATAGAAGTTAAAATTAAAACTGTGTATTGCTTTTTGCTTACCAGATTGGGAAAGATAGGAAAAGAATGACTACATTAAAGCCCCGGGGGCATGATTTCATTTACTCCTAATTTGTTGCTATTTTGTCCATAGAATGGACTTGACAATTTTTCCACTCAACATGTTAAGCTTCGCGAGGTTTATTAGAAGAGCAATAAACTCTGTAAAGATAGCTGCAGAGACAAGTCAAGTGCAAAACAAGGTAAGGGGCCAAACGGAGCGCAGCAGGTGGCCCGCGCTCCGCCTGGGGCTCAGGCTGGCGCGCCGCGGGCTCCATACGGGTGGGTGCGCTCCAGGCCTCCCTGAGTGAAGCCACGCGCGGGGACCACAACTCCCAGGTGCCCGCGCGCCTTCCTCGCCACGACCACGTGACCTCGCGGCCCAGATCGCGATCGCGGCGGCGGGGGCAAGTCGGACTCGGAGCGTGGAGTCCCCAGCGAGCGGTGGCGGTCCCTGCGCCCGCCCGGCGCGCTCACCTCCAAGGTGAGTCTCGCGGTCACTGTCAGCGGCCACGCGGGGAGGGTGGACGGGAGCAGGGTTGAGGGGACGCGGCAAGCGGAGCCGGCGGTGGCTTGCCTGTGTTTTTTTCCCTTATCCGTGCCTCCTGCTGGCAGTCAGTCCGGCTCTGCCGAGCAGCGGGGGCGCGGTGGGTGAAGACAGACTTGGCGGGGGGGGGGGGGGGGGGGGGGGGGGGGGGCGTCCCCTGCCCTGGACGCAGTGACTTGGGAGAGATTCCGCGGGGCCCCCATCAGAAGGAAAAGCCCCGCGCACTTCACGCACCGAGCGCACGCCCCAGGGCCGGCTCCCTGTCCTGGCAAGCTGGTGGTCTGAATCTCAGGTCCAGCTGCTTTCCATCCTCCCTACGTTTGGGTAGAAGTCGCTTTTCACACAAACTGACTTTTTAGGCAGAATTCACCGAGGTGGAGAGAATGACAGCTTGCAAGACTCCTTTTGAGCTTTGAAAAAATCATCATCATGAATATCATAGAATTTAAGATACAGGAAGCCAATACTGGTCATTTAGTCAAACGTCCTCCCCCACCACCTGCTAGCCTTCTAAAAGGGGAAATAGATGGGAAGAGCTTGTGAAAAGTTCCTGAGCCAGGCAAGTGCGGGACAAGGACCTTAACCTCCCCCTGAACTGTTGGGTTTATTAACGAGAGAGCTTAACCTCCCCCTGAACTGTTGGGTTTATTAACGAGAGAGCTCTTCTCGAAGTCTAAGTAACCTCAAATGCGAACATAAAGAAGAAAACAAGTCCCTGATTGCTCTCTTCTTCACCACAGCCCCTCCCTACCCAGGGTGGGGCCCTGAAGAAGGCGCAGATAAGTGAGACTCGGGGCTGGAGGCTGAGATTCTGCCTAAGTGGAGAAACAAAAGTTGGGTGCTGCCGCCTCTGTACCTGACCACGGGGCCCTTTAATTTTTTAAAAAAGATTTTATTTATTTATTTGACAGAGAGAGAGAGAGATCATAAGTAGGCAGAGAGGCAGGCAGAGAGAGAGAAACAGGCTCCCCGCAGAGAGCCCAATGTGGGGCTCAATCCCAGGACCCTGAGACCATGACCTGAACTGAAGGCAGAGGCTTCTGAGCCACCCAGGCATCCAGGGCCCCTTAGTTTAAATGCAGCACCAAGTCGGGATGCGCTGATTTGAATTTTTCTCCAGCGAAAAAGCAGGAGTGGGTGAGCCTTTGTCCTTCCCGGACTCCTCACTCCCTAGTCAGGTGGAACTACTGTCTGGGCGCTTCCAGCCTGGAACATACTAAACTGTCCGTCTTCCTCTGGCTGCCTCCTGCTCCTCCTGCTTCAGAAGATGCCATAGCCATCTGCCTTCTTGGCCCAGTTAGGTGTCTCTCGGGGGGGCATTCCTCCCCAGCACCCGCAGGAGGCCTCCCCTGTGCCTCCTCACTGACTGCATTCACCCTGTTGTAATGATCTGTTCCCTTCCCTCTCCCCTAACAGATGGTTTGTCCCTCGAGGGTCAAGGGCTGTCTCCATATCTCCAGCATCTGCACCCCTAGCAAAACCAAAGTCAGTGTTTGTCAGCTGAATTACTTTTATTGCTTTGTGGGTGCTCAAGTCTACAGCAAAAGCTTTGAGGCCCCTGAGACAGCTGGCCCAGGCCCAAGGATGATAGAAGGAAGCCAGTTAGGGAACTTCTCTGATTAACTAGCCGTTGGGGACATTCCAGTCATGCCAGTTGCTTTATTAAGTGAACTCAGAGAAGGGGCATGGTGCAACGCCTGCCACCTTCCCCACCGCAGAGGTGGTGCTCAAGGCTTCTGCTGAAGCTGAATGAGCGGAACTCCAGCGTAAATGGAGTTTCACAGGATGATTTGGACTTGTTTTCACATGTCCGTCTTTCGCGAACATTTTGCCATATTGTCAAACATGCTTTTTGAAATCATAACAAGGGACGTCTCTGGATAGTAGGACTCAAAATAATTTCTACTTTCTTTTTGGTACTGTTACAGCTTTTACGTTAAACAAGTACCTCCCTCACATTGGGGAAGTAAGAAGCTGTTTTTATTTTATAATTCTTCCACATGATTTTTTTAAAAAAGATTTTATTTATTTATTTGACAGAGAGGGGTGGGGCAGTGAGAGAGGGAATACAAGCAGGGGGAGTGGGAGAGGAAGAAGCAGGGTTCCTGCTGAGCAGGGAGCCCCATGTGGGGCTCGACCCCAGGACCCTGGGATCACAACCTGAGCTGAAGGCAGATGCTTAACTATTGAGCCCCCCAGGCACCCCTTAATTCTTCCACATGATTTTTAAATGACTGCATAGATTTCCATTTTCTTCTTAGGAGGTCTTGGGCAAATCCCTTCCCCTGTTGGGACTCATTTTCCCCACCCGGGAATGAAATGGGGATAGAGAGGGGCCAAGTTGGACTAGATCAGTGTTTTTCACACTGAGTTTCAGCGGAGTTCGGAGTGCTCTCCCCTCTTCACTCAGTGCCCTGGTTTTATATGGTGGAGTTATAAGGAGGATTTTATTTGCTGGTAATCCCTGACCAAGGGAAAACAAAGAAAGAAAGAAAGAAAGAGGGAGGGAGGGAGAAAGAAAGAAAGACTGAAAGCCAGAGGACTAAAGCCTCTGAGAAAATTATATGTCCCGGGGATGTGCTGCCCAGCCTGGTGACTACAGTTAATACTCCTGTATTGTATTTTTTTTTAAAGATTATTTGTTTATTTATTTGACAGACAGAGATCACAAGTAGGCAGAGAAGCAGGCAGAGAGAGAGGAGGAAGCAGGCTCCCCGCTGAGCAGAGAGCCCAATGTGGGGCTCGATTCCAAGACCCTGGGATCATGACCTGAGCCGAAGGCAGAGGCTTTAACCCACTGAGCCACCCAGGCGTCCCCTGTATTGTATGTTTGAGAGCTGCTGAGAGAGTAGGTCTTAAAAGTTCTCATCACAAGAAAAAAAAATTATAGCTTTGTGTGGTAATGGATATTAACCAGTCTTAACTGTGGTGATCATTTCACGATATGTACAAATATCGAATCGGGTTGTACACTCGAAATTAAAGTTACATGTCAGTTGTACCACAATAAAAAAAAAAACTTTCTAAGGACACTCTGGGTCTGACATTTGGGGAATCTAATACCTGCCTTAGAAGGCAAAGGCTTCTGTCACCCGATCCCACTTGCCCAGATCTCCTCAGCTGGAGGGCGGAGCCGCTGTTGCTGACCCAGGTCCTACTTACCCAGTGATGAGAGGGGACCTTCCTTTCCCCACCGCAGGACAGTGACCTAATATTCATCCCTCTGGCTTTAATCTTGCCAAACACAGTCATTAAGCCTGGAGTGGGTACTGAGGATTGCCACCCGGCTTCCTTCTTGTCCTCCTTTCTTGGCAAGCAGGAGACAGCCTAGTATCCTGGAATGCACAGCACTCTGGCATCCAGCTGGACCCGGCTTTGAATCCAAGCTCTGCCAACTTACTAGCTTTGTGACCTTCAGCAAATGATTTAACCCTTCGGAGCCTAGTGTCTCCAGTTTTCTCTTCTATGTGATGGGCCTGACCGTCCTTGTCACACAGAAGACGGTTGTGAAATGAGGTAATGTACAAGAAGCGATTGATGCCACCCCGAACACGGGCTGGGTAAGGCGCTCTTTGAGAGGGGTGTTCAGATGCGTGCGGCATGGTCTGTGCGTCTATCCTTGTTCTTTCTGTAAGTCTGGGAGCAGAGACGTCATCAAGGGCAGAGACGTTAAACTTTGTCCAGAATGCTGTGCACAGAATGGGGTCAGCAAATGTTTAATGAATGAGTGGACAGATGTGGAGTCGCATGGAGACAGCAGCCCCTGGCCCCTCCATGATACACATGGCCAGAACAGAATGACTTGGGCCCCAGAGGGGACATCTCAGCATGACCAGAGGACACTGACCTGTGTGGTACCCCCCGTATCTCACGTCCACCTCGAGTAGGGCCATCTCAATGATAGCTCTGCTGCTGACCCACTATGGGATCTTGGGTAAGTCTCTGCCCTGTCTGACCTCAGTTCATCCTGATGCCCACTAGTGGGCCCTTCCAGCACTTAAGACCAGTGACCTCGTTCCTCTGGGCCTTTAGGGGAGGCTGCTGGAGAGCATTAGGGACCAGGACTCTTACTACATCGAGCAATGCAAATTCCCTTTTCTTTCAGATGCATTTCATCTTCTCCAATGAGGTGGTGCTTCTGTTTGATTTCTGGAGTGTCCACAGTCCTGCAGGTAAGAGTGGGGAAGCCTAGCCTTGTAGCTCGGAAAGCCTTGTAGCTCTGGGCAGTGGAGAGCCTGGTTCCCTTTAGCACTACCCTCTGTGGACATTCAGATGAGACTGACTCCTCTTTCATAAGCACTGAGCAGGAAATTGGCATTTATAATTCCAAGCACTGCTCTTCACGTCACAAAAGGCTCCATTATCTCACTGATTGTCACAAGGCCCAGAGAGAGGCCAAGGATACAGCCTTTGCCTCTATGACACGAGAAGGAACTGAAGCTCAGAGAGGGAAGAGGGTCACATAGCAAGTAAGCATCCGAGCCAGAGCTCGATCGAGGCCTCCTGTTGCCTCTCAGCACCCACCTAGCACCTACCTCCTACCATGTCCAGCACCAGCTCAGAAGTCCAGAACAGCTGCTGCTGGCTGGACCTCAAATGAGGCACCAGTTTGCAAGAGAATGGTATTGCTTTGACTTGAAAAGGCAGAGCTGGGCGCAAATTCATGACGTAGTTGTTTCAACTTAAGTAACTGTATCTTAAAAAGTAGATGGGCAATGGCCCAAGTGCCCAGGCCTGCAGGTGCTGATGAGATAAATCACGGTCATCCCTACAGCGGGTCACCAGCCCCTACCACCCCGTAAGCCCAGTCATTGTAGCATTCCTTCTCAAGGTTCTGGGTTAACTGGGCTCGGCTAAGCGGTCCCCACTCACAGCCTGTCACGCAGGTGTGGTCAGACAATGGCTGGAACTGGAATCCTCCTGAAGGCTTCCTCACGCTCATGTCTCCCGGTTGCTGCTGGTTGTCAGCGAGGACCTCTGGCTGGGGGGTTGCCGGCGGAACACCAAAATATGGGGTGTCTCCTAGGTCCTGGGCTTCCCTGTGGCAGGGCAGCTGGGTTCCAGGAGCGAGTGTGTCAAGAAAACAAGATGGAAGTGCACGGGATTTTTAAGACCTTAGCCTTGGAAGTCACAGAGCCTCACTTCCACCTTGCTTGGGTGAGGAAGTCACAAAGGTCTTCTCAGCCTAAAGGGAAGGGGCCGTGGACCACACACTTGATGGCAGGGGTGCTGACAATGTAAGAAGAGCATGTGGGGTGCGGTGGGGAGGTGGCCACCCTTGGACAATAGACTGTATCACAGATACTGTGAAGCCACAGAAATAAGGCAGATCTGTGTGCAGGGAGGGGAACCTCTCTACGAGGTGTACTTGGATGATGTCAGACGTGGAAGCACACACACAGGTCGATGCCTACAGTGGGTATCCCTGGAGAGCTGCAGAGGAAAAGGCTCTGGGGAGAGGACTGGGGTTTCAGGGCCTGGGCTGCGAAGAAGACTTACCTTTCACTGTATACCCTTTGGTCCCAGTTAAATCCGTACCATGTGCATGTAATTACACGTAATTTTGTGTTTTAAAATATCACCTGCATCTTTTGTAGATGATTTCCTCCTGGGAGCCCAATAAAATAACTATAGCTGGCGTATTTAGTATCCCTCCTCGTCTTGTAAAAGAGAAGTAGCAATTAGCCACTAATTTTACAGCAGCCCTCGTAAGCATTTCATGTTTTCTGTAAAATAACTTAGTGTTTTCCACTATTATAAAAGCATACACACAGCACTGACTTCGGAAAATTAGGTGAGAAGAAAAAAATCCTTTATATCCTAGTTTGCTGAGGTAATTATAACTCCTTTGTTGTTGTATCTCCCTCCTTCCAGACTTTTCTTTATACACATTCCTACTCAGGACCTTGCTGTACATGCTCTTTGCCTAACAAGAATTCTTGACAGAGACTTGTGCCACCTGCAGGGGTTGCCGCTGGGGGCAGTGGTGTGTGACCTCTTCGCCCTCGGCCCCTGGCTTTCCAGACCCTGCTTTTCTCCCTGATCTCACAGCCGTACCCCAATTGGCCATCCTTCCCAAGAAAGAGCAGAAGGGCAAAGAGACAGTGAAGTTCCGAGCCCAAGGAGGGTGGGGAGGAAGATGCCAGAGAGAGGGAGATGGAATGGATTCAGGAGGACCGGTGGAGGTGCTCTGCTGCTCCATATCCCGGGTCCTGGGGGAAGCTGCCAGAAGGGGATCAGGGCTTGCTTGGCCAGGTCTCTGCAACTCGGCTCTGTTTGACAGGCATGGCCCTTTCGGTAGTGGTGGTCCTGCTCCTGGCTGTGTTGTATGAAAGCATCAAGGTTGGCAAAGCCAAGCTGCTCTACCAGGCCGCAGTGAGCCTGTCCATCCCCACCAGCCAGCTCACTGAGGAGACAGACCAGGATTCTTCTGGCTCAGACTCACCCCCGGTCAGCAGAACCCGCCTCAGGTAACAGGCATAGCATACTCACATTCACCATGAGAGGCTGGGCCCAGAGGGCTAAAGCAAACGGGCCCGAGGAAGGACTTGCCAGAGTGCTTACAGGGACTAAGTAGTGAGGTGAGCTCGAGCTCGGGTCTCTTGATGCCTAGGCCAGAGCTCTACGAACAGCCACTCGGGAGACTCAGATCTTCAGAACTCTGGTGCAGGCCTCAGTCCAGCAACACGGGCATCCATCCAGTCCTCCTCCAGATCTCAGCAGCCTTTCTTAGGTCACTAAGGCTTCCAAACCCAGGCTGGCATCTGCAGCTGTTCCTACACAAATAGTAAGGCTTGCTGTCTGCAGCGGACCAGTCTTGGCAGAGGAGCTCCCACCCCCCTCCTTCCCATCCCAGTCTGCTAAGGCCGCGCCATGGGGTCCCACGTCGGCCCTCTCTCCAGCTCCAGCGGTGCTTCCCGAGCCTTCCTTTTCCTTACACGGGTGTCTCTGCTGTTCACACCCAGCCTGCAAGGGAGGTATTCTTATCCCTCCTTTCCTGATGAGGAAATTTTAAGTTCAGAGAGGTTAAGATATCTGTGCTAAGCTAGAGTAAGTGGCTGAGCTAGTAGATCTCCCACAGCAGGTTCAGAAGGAAAAACCTACCTGCCTTACTGATGATTTTGTATTATCCTTTATCAGACATGACAGGATACAGGTCTCATTTCCCCTTTTTGCCTTGGATGCTAGGAAGCTCAGAGCTGAATGTAGTAGAGACGTGATTACCCAAGGCTCCTTGTACAAGCCCCTGTCCCCTAGCAGTGGTTTCTCATGTAAGTCTTCAGAAAGAAGTCTCTTCTGGGTCCAGCACACAAATATAAAGAAGCTGGTTCTGTAACTCAGCGGCTCTAATTCCTGACACCATCTCATTATCAACATTATCTTGACTCTCCTTGTCATCTAGGTGGTTTTTCTGTCACTTCGGCCAGTCTCTAATCCACGTTGTTCAGGTGGTCATAGGCTACTTCATGATGCTGGCCGTCATGTCGTACAACACGTGGATCTTCTTCGGCGTGATCCTTGGCTCTGCTGTGGGCTACTACCTGGCCTACCCGCTCCTCAGCATGGTTTAGCTGGTGAGGGCTCTGCAGGCACCGGGGGCCGGAGCGAGCTGCGGCTCCCTCCTTGCAGACACCGAGCTTCCAGCCCTGTGTCTCCCGTGTCTTCTGATGGCTGTTCCTCGCCACGCTCCCAGCTCCTGGACACGTCCTGCCGAAGCCAGCACTTGCTGCCCAGAGTTCAGAGGTCCCTGAAGCTACCTCTGCCCTCAGCCAGCCTGGACGGGGCCCGGGCTGGGCGTTTTGTGCCTTCATAAGGCTGCTGTGACCTGAGGGAGAATGAAGAGACCAGAACCTGGGGGCAGAGTTGCTGAGCCCATGAGGACTTACCTGACTCAAGATTAAGAATTTCCAAAGATCTTCAAGACAGGGAGAGGGGTTCTGGGTGATGAAGGCCACGGAAGCTGCATACCTTCTGCCCTCATGATTTGTGCCTTATAAAGAGGAGCACCTACAACCGGACTTCCTGACCCCTTCTGTATTTGAGGGACGGAGTCCGAGATTGCTCCTTTGTCTCACCTTTCTGCCTCTGGGGCACATAAAGATGGTCTGTTCTGCGGATCACGGTGACAAACTGAGATTTTTCATTTTTTCCCACTAAACTCCTGGTTCGCAGTTTTGCACATGAATCCAAAATTTTCAGCGAAGTGACTTCATCAGATTTCCTGATGGATATAGCAGCATCTGCTAGGAACTGTTTCTCTTTCTTGTGGGGCATGACAGCAGATTCAAGGCCGAGAAGTGAGACTCTTCTCAAGGCTCCTGACCTATCGGCTGCATGGTGAGCTGCTCCCATCAGACAGCACTGCCTGCGGGAGGAAGGCAGTCTAATGGCTTGAGGGGCCCGGGGTGCTTCTCAGGACCCCAGTGCTCCCTTCCTGCTCCTGCTTTGATGCAGAACAGAGAACTACACTGAATATTCAGTATTTCGTGTTCTCTAGTTCGAACTTACTGCTCACCCATCACATCTGGTGGGCAAACACGGTTAAGCCACAGGGAGTGTCGGCTGACGATGCAGGAAGCAGTCAAACCAAAGCGTTACACGTAGAGTTAGGTGAGACTTTCCAGACGGTTCACTTGACAGAGAAGCAAACATGAGACCCAGGGAGGGAACATCAGGGCTGGATACTGGAATGTCTATGCTCAAGTACCTCAAGGGCTAGAGGAAAGACAGTTTTAAGCTTCAGGAATTAAAAAAGAAATAGATGTTTTAATAAATACTATTTTTAAAGTCTGTGGCCATTCTTGTGTTTCTGCTCGGACAGCAAGCACATGCCACCCCTGAAGCCACTGCAGGAACTGAGGGGGGCGAATGCAGCTGGTAGTGCTGGCTGTGGGGCTGTCCAAGGACGGGGTCTGTCCATCTGCTAGAAGACCGCTCTGTGCTCCAGGTAGCCAGCCCTGGAACGCTGTGCCATCAGGCAGACCCCCGACGACCTTGCCACCCTGAGAGTCATTCTCACGTTCACACACCACATCCCAACTAGGCACTGCCTGGTGTGAGAAAAACAACTAGCTGTCATGTGGGCTGCAAAGCATCTTCTCCCCGAGGGCAGCAGCAAAAACTACATCGAAACCACTTTTTAATTTGCAGTGAGAACCATAACAAAGTATGTGACACCTTCAGTATTGACCAGTGCAACCCCCCAGCTCACAGCTAAGTGCAAGGCTGCTCCATGTCATGAAGGAGGTGGGGGGTAATGTTTCCAGGGTCCGGCGCGGTCTTGCTGATGGAGCCTCACAGATCCAGTTCCATGTCCTAAGCAGCTAAGCCTCCCTCCCCGGGAGCACTGCTACCAGGAGCACTTCCATGGGTCGTTGGCAAGCTCTCGGTTTGATACGCTGGTAATATGCGTGAGGGCTTTTAAAAAATGTCTGCTCTCGAGCTGGTTAGACTAAGCATTTCAACATTCTTCATGGCCAAGTCACAGAAGGTGGCACTTTCTCCACCTGAAGTTTTTTTTGTTTTTTTTTTTTTTAATTTAACAGACACGTGTCTAGTGCTTTTTACATGCCAGGCAGTGTTCTAAGCACCTCACAATATTAACTCATTTAACCCTCACAACCCAGCAGAAACTCTTCGTCCTTGTTTTAGAGAAGAGGCAGCTGAGGCACAGAGAAGTTAAATCGTCACCCGGCTCATGAGTGGCAGAGCTGGGCCGCAGCACCAGGCAGGCTGGCCTGAGTCTGCTCCTCAGCACAGCTGAGCGTGGGGCTCACCGGGTAACTGGGCGAGGCCGTGAATGCAGACAGTGGGAGCTGAGAGGCCAGGGCTGGGTTTTACCACAACAGGGCAGAGATTCTGTTTCAGGAGAGGTGCGCTGAGGCCCAGGAGCCTGGATTTTGACCAGCACCACTGCCCTTCTTCCCCCAGCCCAGTGATGGATGCCCCATGGTGGTCAAGAGCCCAGGCTCCAGAATAGGCTGGTCAGGATCTGAATTCTCGTTCTCCTGCTTCCTAGCTGTATAATATCGGCCAAGTTAATTGAACTCTCTAAGCCTGTCTCTCTATCAGAGGGGGTAAGTGTCTTCTGCAAGGGCTGCTGGAAATGAGAGTCTGTGTAAAGTGTTCAACAACAAAGTCCAGCCAACAGTGGTTCTGACCGCCTCCCAGCCCCACTTCTGGCACACAGGCTCACAAAGGATCTGCCTTCACAAGGGTGGGGTCGGGCCATCAGTATCCAGGATTCTCTCTCATAAGCATTTTAAACCAGGGAATATTTTTATTAAAATTATTCTCCTTCTCTTGAAGACTGGTTGCATGGTCTTTGGAAAATCCGGAAATAAGTAAAATAACCACAGATGTTTTCTCACTACTCTTCTCTGCATTCGGCCTGGCCCCGAGTCCAGAGGGAATGGAAGCCGCTCTCAAAGTGAGGAATCAACCAGGTGTCATGATGAGCGACACCACAATGGAGGGACCCTCCCACCTCCTGCGCAGGGCTTCCCAGGGTATAGAACCAAGCGTGCCAAGACAATATGGCCAGTTTCTCAGGTAACCACAGTACCTCAAGCCTTCCTGCGGCTAGGATGAGCTGGGACAGCAGAGGGGTGACCTTTCCTGAAAGCCTGAGCACCAGGGTTGGGTGCAAAGGGAGTATGGCACGAGCTTTTGTGCCTGTTGAGCAACCCCGGCCTGTTCCAGCTCCTACCCTGACATTCCCAGAGAGGAGCACAGCCAGCTTTAGAACCAAATTTGATTTCTCCCCAAAAGCTTGAGGCAAGTTTCATCGCAGACATTTATTTTAGTTTTTGTTAATTTCAAATATTCATTGACCTCTTTTATCAGATTTAAGGCAGAGAAAAGATACATGTCCCAGGACTGCAGGCAAGGCTGGTAACTGAACCAGGGTGTAGATAGCGGAATCCACCGGGCAGACCTCCCCTGAGATGACATGTCCTGCTGCTGGTGCACAGCTGAGCATCAGGAGGCAGATTCAGTCTGACTTAGTTTAGAGAATAAAAAGCTTGGAAGAGGGCAGGATTCTTGTAGATGACTGGCTGCAGGCAACCCACCAGCCCTTCCTCACAAGGGGACTCTGAGGCAGGACCCCAACGTTGTGAAGACAGGCTCACACTCCTCTCGGACCAGCCGGGCGGGGCGCTCAGAAGTTGGCTAAGTCAGGTGTGTGCGCTGCTGTCCTCAGAATGCTCACCTTCACCTTGCCCCGGGCTGTCTAGACACAGGGCTGGCTGTGCAAAATCATGCTTAGGGAAGGGTCAGTAGAGAAACCTTTGTACCAGTTTCCAGGGTCTTCATCCCAGCCAGTCAATGTCATCGTCATCGTCATCGTCTCCAAAAAGGGGTGTTGGGGGTGGCCGTCCCTTCATGCTCTGACAAAACAGGAAAGAGCTGTCAGTCCTCACCTGCCCCTGCACCAGATGGCCTTCCCGTGTGAGGTGAAGTGAACCGACACCTGTTCCCGACTCCAGGATGGGAAGGAGGGTGTTGGTTAGGGTTTTACTCAAAGGACTAAGCCAGCAAACCTGGGCTTCCAGATAAAGCCGAGACAAGCAGGCAGAGAAGGGAAGCAATCTTCCAACACACAGAGAAGACGACCAACACGGAGCTAGTTTCCTATTTATTTGTGAAACACGTGTATTGATTTGACAGGTTTCTTCTCATGCAGTGACATACATTTCACGTGGGAAAAGAAGGTCGATGGGGGAAGAGATGGGAGTGGGAGGAAGAAAGAGAGTAGAGCAGCCCTAAGGGGAGAGAGAAGATGCAAGAAAATGAAGAGAGGCTGGGAAGAATACAGCTCCATCTGAAGAAACGCTGTGGCATATGATGGCCTGTCTGGTTCTGGACGTGACCCCACCACGTGAGACAGTTGAGCTCAGACGCTTGGCCAAATCACCCAGTGGCGAATCCAAGAGATGAAGAAAGCCCAGGAGCATGGGGCCACCGCCCCCAACACCCTTGATCTCACTGGTCCTTCCCTCACTCCCTTCACCAAGGTAGTAGGAAAAGGGAGATTAACAGGCGATGGAAGAAACTCTCCCCCACTTTTCATGACTTGAGTTCCTGGCCTTTTTCTTCTGGATTGGCGGGGAACAGGTCCCATGGGGGTAGCAGGGATTGATGCTGGAGAAAGGCACACACGGAGTATCCCCTGCTCTAAGCTACTCTGACCCAGGGTCAGTCTTCACAGGGCCGGCCAAACAGAAGGCAGCGTGATGGGGTCAGGGGTCCCTGGTACAGACCTTGTACCTCTCTCTGGGCATCAACTAAATGATCTTTAAACTCTGACTGTAATGAATTAAAAGGTGGCTCACTGCTTCTGTTTTATTCCAGCTAAAGTTCTGGCTCTGCATTTTATTAGTTTTATAACCTAGAGTATATTACTTAACCTTGCTGAGCCTCAGTCCTCTTTTCTACAAAATAGGATAAATTCCTCACTGGGTTAGTAGAGTATTAAATGAGAATGTCTGTGAGGTTCTTAGAGTATCCCAGAAATAGAAATGAACTCGATAGTATTCATAATAATACCAATAATATCCTGCTAACTAAACATTCCAACTACATTTAGGGCAGCCACCGGGGATACTCAATTGGCTTTTTGTTCTTATTTTTAAGTGCAGAATTCCTATTCAGAATTCTTGAATGAAAATTTAATTCTTGGGAAGAAAGGCCAACAGGAGGAAATGGCACCCTTCCCCCCAGAGGAGCGCAGGCAGGAGTCAAGGGCGTTGGTACATTCAAGCCCGCTCCTTGCTCTGCCATAGCCATTTCCCCAACATTTTGGCAAAAGGCAAAATCCACTCTGGCGGACACATGAGGGGAGAAAAATGTGTCCCCAGTCACCTCACATTTCTGTCCCCGGGACAGGCTGAGCTTGAAGCTGATCTGTGTTCTCCACCCACGTTTTGCTCTGGTGTCATTCCCATCAGACCAGTCAAATGTCCTGGTGACAGTCTAACTCCGCACATGGGGCCAACAAATGCCAAGAATAGGGGCTCTGATCCAGGCTCTCTGAGCAAGCCGCCCTCCGGTCATCTGTCACTCAGGAGCTTTGTAGAGTGAGGTCATGCTATCGGTACTTAACCTATTTTCTGCCCAGGGTGTTGGGAGAACAAAACAAGGTAGCAGTTTGGAAAGCAGGCTGAGGACACGGAAAGGCCCAGAAACAGGTGGTTTCAGAAAGAGCCTGGGGTTTCAGTCCTAGTTCTGCCACTAACTCCCTCTGTGGCTATAGGTAAATCATCTTTCTGAGCCTCCATCTATGAATAAGGATAGAAGTCAAGAACTTCCAAGTCCCTTCTGATTGTAAGATAGACATAATCCCTGAGCAGATCTGAGGGAAGCCGAGGCCTCAGCATTCTAATGCAGGACTAAGCAGCCCAACTTCCTTCACTGAAAGTAGAAATCATTCGTGCATGGATGGAGATCGTGACCCTTTTTTAGGAATAAAGTGGTATCTGCCCATCCCCACCGAGCTTACAGAGCTGCCCCCTCCCTACCCCACGTCTGCTCCCACAGGGCGCCGCACACAGAGCCCAGGGCACGGGACACCCACAGGCTCCACTCCTCTTCTCGGAGCCAGCGGGAAAGGGTGCCCGGGTGGTGGTGTGAGGACTGGGCAGTGCCTGGGATTTCCTTACCACCTCATCTTCATCCTCCTCCTCAGCCTGTGCTTTGGGCCTTGAAACTTTCAGAGCTGCCCCTTTAAATAGTTCATCTTCTTCATCCCCTGAGAGACTGAAGGAAAAAAATCAAAATCAAGTCACAGAAA